AAATGTATAGTATTTATTATAAAAAAAGTAATCAGATTCAGATAGAACTAGAAATGAGTTAACATCGGTGTAAGAAAATTCATAGAGAATTTAAAACCAATGTTTTTGTTGCAAGTTATTCACAATAAGATGAGAATTCGCTGTGATTTGTGTGTGAAATGTATTCTCTGATTTTCGAGCACAATTACAGGTATTACATTGATTTACTTTCAAAAAATACTTTAAAAAAAAAAACGTGTATGCCAAGGAAAACACACATACTTAGTCTACTCTTGTCTGGTTCAAAGAGCAGCCTTAACATAAATTTTCGGAATGCCACTTACAAAAGCATCAGCTGTTTCCAATGCCCAATACCAATCTCGTTTTCCAACCAAATGGGTAATCTGCCACATTTGGGGGCAATTCAGTGAGCAACTTACAATTGCGTTTTGCGTGCATAAATCTGTCAATGGATATTTGTGGCTTTAGTCGCTGTAGTAACAATATTTACGAGTACTCCTATATTCTATGGGGCTAATGCCATTCTGATATTTATGACACAATCAATGGCCTGTGTATTATAACAAGTGTTTGAGTTGGGCCGGACTTTTTATTTTCGTATGCCTGCCCCATCCTTTAGGTTGCTTTTTATGCTTCAATGCATACGAAAAAAACTTGAGTAGCGGACAATAGTAGGTGTGTGTGTGTTTATTTGTATACTTCATGCTTTATTACACCAAAATCAGCAACTTAAATTTATTTATTTGAATTTATTTCGCAGCAACAATAAAAATATCAAAAGCTTTCAACAGAGAACAGAGGAGGAAAGCAAGGCCAGGCAAGGAAGTTGACGGGCAGGAGAAGGAAGGGGAGGAGCAGCTGCTTGGACCAGCTATTGTTATTATTGTTGTTTTTGACTGAAACATGTAATAAAACATTCAAAGCCACAAAAAGTCAAATATATGTATAAGCCAGTCCTTTTTCCTTCTTCCTTTGTTTGAAGTTACGGGTCTGGGATCAGCGTTCTGGGATGTGGGATGTGGGCTCGGCATTTCATTTCATTTTTATTGTGCTACAAATTGCTGTAAATATTTGTGGAATACACGCATTAGGTACCCTTTGTTTGTGTGTGTGTGTGTGTGTGCTTGTGTGCTTGTGGGTGCTAATAAAAGGCGGAGGCCAGTCTGCGTATAAATTACGCAAAACATGCCGTTGAAATAATCAAGCGGTGAACTTAATTTTCCACAGAACGGCAGTCAGGAGTCTGTAGAGTAACCCATGGATAAGTTATGGAACCCTAACGAGCTACGGAATCTGCTACGCTTATAGTGGAGAAGTGTTGGCCAAAAGTCGTGCGACTCGTAATTTAGACATTTTGCGGGTCAAACCTTTTGATAATTCGTTGCTCGAAATTCTCGGAACTGACTCTCGCGGCCTGACTAGCCCCAAATGTGTCGCGACGGCGAACAAAAAGCGCCAAATGGGTTTTGTTTGTAGACAACAACAAAAAATCACTAGAAAAAAACTGAAAAAATTTTGCATGCCATTTGATTAATTGCCATGCAAATTATGGTGTAAATATAATAACATTTTATTCAGCTGTCAATTCGCCAGCGAAGCTGAGGGAAAAAATGAGGCAAAGCCCTGCCTGCTCGGCAACATGCAAAAACTCAATTTAGCCGAGGAATTGTTTTTGTTTTCTTGCTGTTGTTGGTGGTGGTGGTGGTGCTGGTGGTGGTGTTGGTGGTTGGCGGGCGAAGTGAATGGCAATTCGTTGCAGTCTCCAGCCGATCTGGCACGATTTCGTTGCCGTAGCGCACCGTAAAGGTTGCGCTGGCCGAATTGCCAACACCTAAGCACAAAATTAAGACATTAGTCAAAAGTGTATGTGTTTTTTTTTCGGTGCTTAGCTGCTAAATATGCCGCAGTTAAGAGCTGCAGCCTATAATCCCTACACACACACACACACACACACACACACATATGTGTGGAGGCAAATGGCAGAGAATTGCTAAAGGCAGTCGCTGGCCATGCTCAGGTACTTCCAGGGAACTTTGGGTCCCAGCCTGTGAGTGTTGCAAATTAGTTGACACGTTGTTGCCGCTGCCGCTGCCGCCAACACCAGGGGGGACCCGTTCTGTCCTGTCCCCTCCAGTCCCCTCCAGTCCCCTCCCCTCCGCGCAACTCCAGTCCCGTCTCGTCTCGTCCGGCAGACGTCGCGGCGCAACAAACAGTCGCACAGACGACTGCTGTGGCAGACTGCTATGAATTAAGTCATTTATATATGTACATTTGTATGATGAAAAATGTTGAAATGTTTGCCACTAGCAATCCACTCTATAATTAGCCTAATAACGCAGTCGTCCAGCCAGCCAACCAACCAACCAACCAACCAACCAGCCAGCCAGCCAGCCAGCCGGCCAAGCAACCCAAACCAACCAACAGTCGTACCGACAACATGACAGACCATAACCTGGGCGCTCCATTTCGCGTTCGGTCTGGTACGCTCTCGGCCGTAGTTTTACAATATATAAGTAGTATGTATAATGACTTCAATTTGCGCTGAAAGCGATTCCTGGAAATCAAACGGCTAAATGCCATGCCATGTGTGCGTTTTGTGCATTCCCATCCGGGCTATGTATGTGTATGAGGCCGGAGCCCTGAAAACTTGTTAAAAGTTGTGGGTGGTGCTGAAATTCTTGCCATTGCCTTTTCCCTTTATTGCACACTTTAGAGGCTTTGTTTCAACATTTGCTGACTAATGTTAATAAATGCCTTAATTATACTGCTGGCTGCAGTACAAAATTATGTTGCAAACATTTCTTTTTAATAAATTGTCAGGAAAAGTTTGATTGCTGTTAGGAATGGCATGATTTTTTACAACTTGTGGCTTTTACTTAGGCCTTGAATTTAAAAAAAAACCAAAAATAAATAATTGAGTTCAATATTTGATAAGAAATGATTTTTTTCATTGTGTGGGCTTCGGGCAATGCCTTTAGTAGCAAAAGGGTTTCGAAATCAGTTTGAATTTATTAATAATTTTAATAAATAAATTGATAAAATTTTGAATCAGAACAGATATTAATATTGCTTGAAATTAATTTTTGAAATACTTATAAAAACAATCACAATATAATAATATAAACATTCAAAAGCGACAATATTTGGGTTTATTAAAATTCCTCACAACTATAACCACATCTTATTTAAGTTGAAGATTTAGGCCGCAATACAAGTATATAATTAAATTCAAGATTTTATAACCAATTGACTGCTTTTTTATTGGATGGCCGATGCGTTTAGTCAAACGTAGATGATTTTCAAATTGCAATCAGTTTAAATTGATTAATAATTTCAATAAATATATTGATATATAATAAAATATAGTATATAATAAAAATATAGAATATCTAATAAAATTCGATATTGTATAAAAAAAAGTTTGTTTTTTTATTGGACTTCCGGCAATGCCTTTTTTGAGATGTAGAAGGTTTTGAAATTGCAGTTTAAGCTTATTAATAATTTCAATAAATAATTTGATACAGTTTTGAAACAAAAGGAGTGTTAACATCGGTTGAAATGAATTTTTGAAAAACTAAGTGAAAATTATATACCGTTTTAATGATTAGATGTTGAGCTTATTGAGTCTAATATTTCAAAAGCGATCATCATTTTATTTATTCCGATTATGTTAGACTTTATAAGAAACGAAGTTTTTAATCTGAAATCCCTCTCAACTATAATTTTTGAATGTTAATTGCAATTGCTCTGTGAAACTCAAATTACTCTCGTGCGGCGACAAGATCTTGTTTAAGTTGAAGATTTAGGCCGCAATATATAATGACTAATCATTCAAGATTTTATAAACAATTGATAGTTTTTTTATTGGGTGGGCAATGCGTTCAGTGAAATGTAAAAGGTTTTGAAATGGGAATCAGTTTAAATTTATTAATAATTTCAATACCAAAAGGAGTGTAAACATCGCTTGAAATGAATTTTTGGAAAACTAAGCGAATACCTTTTCAATGATTGGCTACACTGTGTAAGAAGAATGTTAGTCGTTGATCTTATCGAGCCTTTTATTTTAAAAGCGACAATTATTTCATTTATTTCGACTATGTTCTTTTTTATAACAAAGCAAGTTTTCAATGTGAAATCCCTCACAGCAATAATCCCTATAGCAATTTTTGAATGTCAATGGCAATTGCTTTGTGAAAATCAAATTACTCTCGTGCGGCGACAAGATCTTGTTTAAGTTGAAGATTTAGGCCGCAAGCTCCACTTCTTGCAGTCCTCTGCAAATAAATTAAACAATAAGCGAGGCAGACGCACCGCCAAACCCACTGGAGCCGATATGGTCTAGGCAGAGCTTCCACAGCCGCGCAGGCGCAGACTCACGCCCACTGCCTCATATTTTCATAATTTTTTTCGTCTAACCCCGAGCCGTTGCTCTTTTACGAGCGCAGAGACAAATGACTTGGTCGGGCGATGCTCGCGATAGCGCAGGAAGCCAGAACGGGGAGACACGAGTTGGGGGCTGTTGTAACGCCTAAGCCGAAAGTTGCCACAAAGAGTTATGTGCACAATTAAATTTGCTAAAAGTAATAATGCAAATGTAGGAGGGAGAGAGACAGCGATATGGCGAGGGAGGAGGGAGGAGGGAGGGAGAAAGGGGGACTTGTCTGGAGCAATGGATCTTGAAAAATATTGCGCCGAAAAGCAATCGCGGAACGCACGCCCAACATCAGTTTGATAAATTGATATCAGCGATCGATGTGTTGTGCAGATATTGTTGCGGGGCCTTGTAGAACTTTTAATTGAAAAACACGCCACGCCACCAACAACAGCAACAACAGCATCAGCATCAGCAATAGTAATCATAGTGAGAGCGACTACAGAAAAGCGGAAGTGGGAGCGAGAGCGCAAGGATCACACAAAGTGATCGGGCCATTTTCTTTTTCTTTTTTTTTTTGTACTAGCCTAGAGCTGTGTTGAGCCTACCCATCGATATCAGCACTTACCTATCGAACCATCCAGAGAGTAGGCATTACGCTGCCATGCCCATGTGCATAGATCACAGGTGGTGAGCCCATCCGCGGCGACGCTTTCATCCAGAAAGGGCGGACGTGGCGGCGGAGGCACAAAGTGCCCGTTCCATAGACCATTCTCGCTCGCATCGAAGGCCAGCGGCGAGTCGAATGTGTCCACCTCGATGGCATTGGCCCACCAGTCCTCGTTGTCCTCCAGCGGATTGTAGGCTCCAGCGGCGCCACTGCTGCCCAACTCGGCAGCACCGTCGACGGCGGCAGCGGCGGCCGAGGCGGAGGCCACATCGTCATCGATATAGGGCGCAGGCAGCTGACTGTTGCTGGCATGGGTGGGCGTTGGATGCGCTGCTAGCGAGTCCAGTCGCGAATTTGGAAATACTGAGCGTAGCGTCGTCGTTGCATCCTGATAAATGTCCGCCCCGCTTGGACCGGGCAGACGTGAGAACATTTTCCAATCCTGCTCGAAACTCCTACTCCTAACGACCAGTCCCACCAACCCAGGTCCTCGATTGAGTGCTTAGCAAACTATTCGTCGACGGCGGTCGTCGGTCAGTGCGGTGACAGCCACATGGGATCTGAATGTGTTGCGTGGTCGCCGTCGCTATCTGGGTGTTCCGAGTCCAAGTCTGCCTCTGCAATGAAAAAGAAAAAAAAAAAAAACGCGCACGAATGGCGGTGGACATTTATTAAAATCTGTCATAAAATATTAAACAAAAGTATTACTTAATTCGATATGCAGACCAAGTTGTAAGACATGCAACGACTAACAACGAACAGACAGACAGACGGCTTGGCTTGTTAGCACTTTTTTGAAAGTTGTCCCCCAAATAGTTGATCGCATTTGATATGCTAAGGCATTGTAAATGGTGGTTGTCTATGCTCTGTAGGCAGTTATTTATTAGTTTAGTTACTAGACTTATATAGTATCTCAGGGAATATGTATATATGTATAGTCAATATCATAAGCAAATGGAATATGAATTTGGACTAACATATTCGATGGTAGTATACATACATACAAGTATATGTCTATAATAGGTATATATGTGCGAAATACGTTTAATAAAGAATATGTTTAATAGTGTATGAATTAATTTACTTATTGAAACGATATTTGGTAGATATATTCTATATTCTATATAAGCATCTAGAATAACACAAAATACTTTGTTTTCGCTTTCAGTCTACATCGCAATTCAGTTCTAAAACTTTTGAATAAAAATCGGGAGATTTGTTAAGATATTTTCATTTGATTCTTTTTATAATTCTAGGGGTTGGGGAAAAAGGTTCTTTTAGTAATATTTTGCTATTCTTAAAGTACCTAATTCATTCTTGGGTTTACAGAGGTGCTAAATTCCCCTCTGAATCAAAAGATCTCCGTAAGTTCTTTATGGTACATCGACTTCTTGTGAGATAAATTGTGCTGAATGCCAAATTTTTTTATAGTTGGTTGGAATTTTAAATAGGGTTTATTGCCCCTACACTGCCTCAGCTAAATATAGGAAATCCTTCTAAATCGTCTAATCCTAATATACAAGTATGTATGTTTCTCTGTTATTTTTAAGCAGTTACTAAGGTTTAGCGAAATATAATTTAGATATATTAAGAATACATAAAAATAACAAATCCTTTTTTGCAGGGGAAAAACAAACAGTACTTAGAAATTAATGAATATTTGTAATTAAAAGAAACAATATTTCAAACAGTTTTTATTTCCAGAAAACACTGTTTCTTTTTAATATATACACCATAGCAATAGTTTTTGATATTTGTTGGAATAAAGAGCGATTCAGAATCAGTATTTATTTAGACTTAAAAAATTGTATACATATATTATCACTACAATACGATATGATGATTGACAAAATTTTCAATTCGAAATATCGAGATTGCACTTTTAGGAAACAATTCATTCTAAAAGACATCCATCTGAAAAATTGTGTAGCTTATGTAGACCAGGTATCTAAGCAATAATGTAAGTATTTGCTCTTTTTTTGTGAACGCTGCTGTCTTATTAAAACTGTGCAAAGACTTCTTTAGGTTTATTCAATAAATTCTTTCACGCTCCACTCGCTTAGGAAACTACAACAATAATAACTAATGATAGGAGTCTGGTACTTGTATGTTGTTCGATTCGACAACACAAGTGGAGTCTGTAAATTGCACACGAGGGAGGACAACAGCAATTGGGCGTGGCTATGCAAACAACTCTCGGAGATAGTGGGGCGCAAGTGGTTGTGTTGTGGTTGGAGCTTGGGGCAGCTACTGTGGCAGCAACACGTTGCCCGTTTCCGACTGACACACATTAATCAATGCAGGCCACTCATAGAGCGGCGTTGCATATAAGAAAGAAAAAAAGAAATAATAATAACAAAAAAAAACTTTGACACTAATGAAGCTTTTTAACAAGATTAGAAAAATGCGATAAGCGCGTAACTGACTTGGCCACAACAACAACGTCGGTGGCGGGTGGACAACTGGCGAAGAAATAAATCAGCTTTATATACAATAAGTGCCGTTATGCGACGGACATTGAATAAATGGTGAGTGAGAGAAGTTCATTGGGTCAACGCTAGGTTGGAGTTTCATTTCATTTCGGTGGCTTTGGCCAAATAATTCGCATGGCAGAAAAAGTGAAACTCGCTGGGAAGAGGGACAGACGGACCGACAGATAGACAGACAGACAAATGCGTTAATCAAAAGACTCGTTCATACTCATAACAGAAAATTATAAAAATGTTTTCTATGATTTATAAACCAACAATTACAAGCAACGGGCCAGTCAGCCAGCCAGCCAGCCAGCCGCTAAAGCCAGCGAGAAATAGCGGCGCAATAACAACAATAACCAAAAATAGTGAAAAATCAAAATCATTTATCATAATCACTGTGATTGATTCGTTGTGAAAAACAAAAAAGTATTACAAGTGAATAAAAATTTATTTCGTGGCATATTCAAAGGCGCCCGCGCTCCACTCATCAGGCGTATAAACGGCGTTGTTGTTGTTGTTCTCATAGTCGTTGTAATTGTTATTATTGCTAGCGGTTTTTTTTCTTAAATATTTTTTTATTTGTCTCACGTCTCTGGGCTCACGTTTTCATATGGCGGGGGCAGCAGGCCATTCAAAACACTCACTGTGTTTTTCTCATTTCTTGGCCGCAAGATCAAGAAATTGTTTTGATTCGGTCGACTGACTGACTGACTAACTGACTAACTGACTGATTGACCGTTCCACCATTGAATGCTGACCAACAATTGGCCATAGCCAATGCTGTTATTGTTGTTATTGCAGGGCACTGAACAAAACGCGAATTTTTTCGTTACCTTTTTGCGGTCAACAGTAGAAATATTTGTACAGTTTCATTTTTTTCTGTGGGTTGTTTTTTGTATTTCTCTTCGACTTTTCGAATATTATCAATCAAGCGTGCATACATTTTACGCCCGATTTGTTTTATGTCGCAATCGGGACTTTTATTATGCGGGAATTGTGCTCCAATTGCTTCGCATATTGAAAGTTTTTCTACCTATCACAATTTGATTTGGTCGAGCCAGCATAAAAAGCTTAATTGTGTTTAATTGTAATAAGAATTCAAATGTTTTAATGCCATCAGGCTGCTTTAACTACATTAATTTGAAACCTAATGAGAAGGGATTTAAAATACACATTACATAAATACGGAAGGAGTTAATTGGATTTGAACAAATTGCTTTAAGAAAAGTAGTTGCTTGTATTTTTTAGGGAATATTTTAGGGAATTTTATAGTGAAACATATACATATATATATATGGCCGATTTTCGCTGCAACTCCAGTTCAGTGCTTACTAGCTGCCCATGTTATGAAGATTTTTTAGCACAGCAGGAAATTCAAGGACCCGGAAGCTAGCGAAACGCTGAAGCAACTGCTCTGCCATTCCCTAGCACTCGTAACATACCTTAAGGCGCATAGGCTTGCAATGCACATGGCAAGATGCTAACGGATCTATCAGACGCTCTTCCAATTTCTATTTATAGGTTTTACATATTTATTTGCGACAGATATGTTCAGACAGCTATCTTTTATAATCAAAAATTTAGATGCAATTTTTCTTCTAAATATCGGTCAATTAAAGAGACTAAATTTTTGGCATTTCAATGCGAAAGATAAGAACAGACTAGCTTAAAAATATAAAACATCCTAAATCCTTTTACCTTTTTTTTATTTTTGCACAATTTAGAACCCTGATCTAAGCCAATTTTTAAGACCAATCTAAAAAATCGTTGCTAGTCTTTTTAACTTGTATAAGAAATAACAATTTGTCCACAAATTATACAATATATAAACATTTTCAGATAGCACCTACATAGTTAAAATATTAATTCTGTTTGTCTTTGAAAAGTATTTGCTGGCTGTTTAAAAAAACGAAGAATTGCTAGTTAGTTGAAGCGGACATATGTACGCGGATATGTGTGGAAGTTGAAATAATATCGAATCGAGTTAGGGCAGTAATAATGACAACTAACTTAGCATTCTTTGAAAATGTACTAATTCGAATGAGGGAAGGAGTTGGTTTTGTCTATTTAAGAAGTGACAACTTTAAAGATAATACAAGTTGGCATATACTATAGCTTCTATTTGGTGTATCTTGAGTTCTGCAGCCAGATATGTAGCTGGCGGAGTATGTTTATGCGGATTGCACTTACAGTCTGCTCCCATTTCTTGGCCATCTTCCATATTAATCACGCCGCATGGGTTGCTTTCAACAGACAATGGAGCACTGTGGTGTGTCAGCGCCAGACAAATGAGTTGCCGGTAAAGTGCAATATTTTGGCAACATTTGCGCAAACCAGAAACGGGTGACCAACTTTTCACTTTTCAGTCTTTGGCACGCGGTAGTGGTCGCATGTACTCGTACTCTTACTCGTACTGGTAGAATGAACCAACGCACTCATGTTCACGTCGTTGTGCGTTAGTCAAGTGGCTTAATTTATATTTATGAAACACAGCACGAACATTAAACTGTGTCTGTAGTCTGTGCTTTGGAGCAGTTGCATGCCACAGCCACAGTCAAAGCTGCTGAAGCCAAAGGCAAAAAGAACTGCCGAACTTGTCGAAGAATTATGGCTTTGACCCACAACAGACCAATGGAGGAGCTGGACAGAGCGAGACACACATGCGCAGTGTGCTTTGCAATTTTTATGAACTGCACAATAAACGAAACTGAGCCACGCACCACAAAACACAAACGGGCGCCCCAAGCCCACAGACGACAGCGTTGGAACAGGCGGGTGAGTGGACAGGGACAGGGACAGGGACATGGACTTGGACATGGAGGTGTACTCGTATGTAGGTATGTGGACCGACCTGTGGCCGAACCGGTGCGGAGCCCATAATAACAATTTAGGCTTGTTTGGCGTCTCAGGCGGCAATTTTTCACATTAATTACAAATTACAGATTTATTAGGTATGAGCGACGTTTCTTAAAGCCGGACAGCTTGGCAACGCCCCTGCCTCTACCTCCCAGACTAGCAACACAGTCGGTACACGGTGGGCTAAAAAAAGCATACCTTAAAACTAACTTCTTTATCAAATCGGATAACAATAATTATTTATTTTGTTAGAATTAACAGTTCAGTTTGTCTTTGAAGCTATGAAT